TCTTTCCATTTCCACATCTTTAGTCTCCATTCTATTTTCCAAAACACCCACTCTGTCATTTACTTGTTTTACATCAGCAACAATCTTATCCAGATGTTTATCCAATTTTTGTTCTAACATTTCAAATTTAGCTTCTATAGTTTGTGTTATCTTGCCAGATATCGATCTTCAAACATCGATTTCAATGCTTCATATTCTCCAGACCCCCTCCTGTATAAATGTTTCATTGCTGTGATCAATAAATCAGTCAATAGATGAGCCAGTAAGTCAGTTAGCTAGGCAATACCACACTCTAGTGGCCAAAACTATAAGGTGCAACTTGAAGTTTTCCAGAATGGGGAATAGTGAAAGGAAATTCCATAATGAAGACAGGAAATTTCTCCAATTACCTTGTTTACAAATCCATACCAATCAGCACAGAGCAGATAAAAAAGAAGCCACTTTCCCATGAATATCCACAGTCCAAAATCCAATACCACAAACATAGATTCATCAAAAAATAAAATACCCTTAAAAAATATTTCTTTCTTTAAAAATCACCGATAATCCAAGCCTTAGTCTTTTTTGCGAGATAAGTAAGTCTCAATATCCAAATCAGTTTCAAAGTTAATAGTCCCAGGAAATACCTCTAATCACCAGAAGGAAACAGTCCTCTGCAACCAGAGAAAGCCTCTCTTTAACTAAAAAGTAGTGACTAAAATCTAATAAAGAAATGGGCAGGTCAGTTTTAGTTTGTTTTTTTCCTTTCGGCATGGCTTAGAACTTGATGAAACCCCTGCCTCCCAGCTGATCACTCACCAGTCGATCACAAAAACCTTTGTTTCACAATCTTCTTTCCAGGAACGGCCATCCGGAGGACTTATGGATTAATTTCTCAGTTTCTCCTTAGATCCAGAAAATTCTTCAGATTCAAGGGTTCCTGCCCAAGCCCCAATCTACCATAACAATAGTTCCTGTTTACAAAGGGAAATACTCAATCTGCCATTGCCCACTGGAAGTCCTGGTTGTTTTTCACACGTTAAGTGTACTGTATCTCTTCTTTACATTGAACATATTTCCAACTGTAAATTCTTCAGGTCATATTTTGCTGGCACGCCTATCCTCCTTAATTCTCTAAGCTTAACCAGTACATTTGAAATAATTCATAATCTTTTCCACAATCTGCATCTACCTGATTTGATGGCATTTCTCCTTATTTTGTTTCCTATACATAGTCCATTTGGTGATGTCAAATGTATGTTGTCAGCCTATGTTACAGGCACTGGCAGTGAATATTATTATATTGCCCAATTCAAATCTTTCTGTGATTCCAGGTTCTACCATTTCTCCAACTTCTGCATTTCAGTCCCTAATTCCAGTCCCCCAGTTGCACTACTGTATGTCTTTTCTTGGTATAGCACCTTCTGCTGGAGCTTTCCTTTTAAATTTGTCTCAGCTTTCTTCATTGTCTTCTTCCATAGCATTTTAGTAAGTGTAAATTCTTGTATAACACTGATATTTATTGGATATCTATAGTTCTAACTGATCTAATCCCTGTGATTTATTGGGTTATAGCCAAGCTTAACCATGTCTTTTTTTTTAACAATGTGCTTTTTTGAGTATTGTTGCCAAACCGTTCCTTTGTATGGAGTCATGCCCTGAATGGTCCATTCTGTTCCACTTAATTTCATTTATTCCTTAGTCATCCAGCTTTGTAAGCTTCATTTCCACTTTGACAATTTCAAGGTTTTCATGCTTCTCACATCTATATACTACTAAAACTCCCGTCTGTTTGTAACGTTCAATTGGCTGAAACAATGCATCATAGGGCAACAATTTTTGAAGCAAGGCACCTCAAATGGGCTAACTTAAAGAATGCGTCCAAAATCCAGGACCCGTGACTCTCGTAGAATTGAAATTTCAAGGATCTTCACACCAGTTCTCTTTACAAAATTGTGGCTGCTGCAGTGTCACCACAGTTAGCTGTGGTCACGTGATTGTGATTTACAACTACACCTCCCAGAAACCCATAGGTTGCATGGCTCAAGGGAAGATGGGAGGGGTGTATCCCCACCCTCTTTTCCACCTCCCTCTGGCCCCTGTGCCCAGTCAGCTGGCGGCAAGGCCCCCAGTGGGCAAGTGGCCACTGGCTGCTTTGGAATCAAGGCTGAAAATTGAAATCTCTTAACAGCGGTGGGCAGCGAGGGAAGGACGAGGAAGCGACTCAGATGCCTGCTGGCGAGGTAGGGCTGGCTGGCTGGGGGGTGCTGGCGGTCAATGGGTGAGCCTCCCTGGAGAGAGGGGGCCCTTGGGGACACACCGGGATGGAGAGTGGGGGTCCAGTTTTCCTTGTGGTCTGCTGTTCCCTTTGTTCCTGATCCCCCCAGCAAAGCGGCAGGCAGTTCAGCGAGTCAGCCAAGGAGGAGGAGGCTTCACTGGGGCTCTGCTGAGGGTCATGAGAGGATGGGAAACAATGCCAGCCTATATTATATGTGGAAAGAAGGATGACCCATCGGGTCATGGGTTGTCTAGTTCTATATTATGAGTGTGTGAAGAACTTCTCATTCAATTCAATTCAATTCAATTCAATTGACATCATCAATGACCAGTCTTCGTTGCAGCTTTGGTCTGGCCACATCATCATTTCCAGATCTACTATGGACACAAGTCTCTTCCCCAGCTTGTTCTTCCATGTCTAGTTAGTTTTCCTGGCAACAGTACAGAAGTGGTTCACCACTGCCTTCTTCCAGATTTGATTTTGATTCCTTCTCCTTGTCCTCACTTGTTGTGGATTACTCTTAATTTCTCCCCTGCCCCCATCCTTTCAATCTGACTGATAAGGAAGACCATACCAGGAACTCATGTTTTTGTCACTGTCACCCTTAGGGTCATTGAAATTACTTAGTTCTTGAGGACTTCCAGGGAAGCAATGGTGGACTGAAGACGGCTCCGTGAGAGTGCAGCTGGTGGCTGCGGCAGAAGGAGGAGCCGGTGAATGGATCAGCTCCTTGGAATCCCTCTTTGGATTAAGGAAAGGACTAGGATCACCCACAAGTTTACTCCATACAGAGGCTCACTCGTGAAAAGATTGCAAAATAGCAATCTCCAGCGGGTTTGAGAGTTCTGGGAGCCAGGGGAAAATCAATCTGCCTAAGCTGCAGCCCGGTACCGTTAAACAGACACTGAGTTCGCCAACTTCCTCTCTTAATCACTTTAGGAAATTGCTTGTTATTTATCTTTTGGATGTTAAGAAGTTTAAGGGCAAGTTTCACTATGTTAGGAGAGCTTCCTTCTTTCCTGGATGAAAGAAGGTTCATGTAAATTTAAGGATTAAAAAGAAAAATTTTAATTTTTGGAAAACAGCAAAAGAGGGACTAGAATGTGGATTTTGAAAAGTTAAGGGGCCAGATGGACTTGAAAGAATATTTCCTGTGGGTTGTTTAAAATTTTATAAAAGTATACATGAAGATTTTGAAATTAACTAAGAAATCCTCCCATGGGAAAGTTTTGCTGACTGGAGAATAATCATAAGAGGGGACTTTGAAGGTTGACTAGAGGGAACCAGAGAGAACTAAGGATTACAATTAAAGGAGAAGAGACTTATTAATACACTGGAGAAACATCATCTGACTATAGAAAAAATTAAGACTATCTGGGAACAGTGTACTCAGAAATTACTTTCAAGTTTGTCTGCCACTATAAAAATGGATCTAACAGAGGCTACAGAACAGATTCTACTGGACAAAAGAAAGATTGAGGCTGATTTGAATGTGGATTTGAAAACAGATTTAAAAATGACAGATTATAAGAGTGACAGGGAAAAAGATGCTGCAATGAATTTGCAAATGAAAATGGGTGATGTTTTAATAACTAAAGGGAACATACAAATAATAAATCAGAAGAGTGACTTGGATAGCCTTCTTATCTTGGATTTACAAAAGGGACGTGTTAAACTACTGAACTGGTTTCTGAGAGAAGACAGAAAATTATAAGAAAACTTGTGGGATTTTATTCAGTGGGAATAAAGACCAAGCTTTTAAAAAGTAAAAGGAAGAACTATAAAATGAATTTATTTGATCAGGGTTAGAATATATATGTTGTAGTTTCTGGTAGCTATTAATGGATTTTTTTTTTAACCAGGATTGAATGATGAGGCTTTAAAGATCTGTATAGAAATGGGGAGAGTTTTCTGTTGCTTTATTCCTCAGAGAAGGTGATAAGTTGGAATACAAAATGGATTTATTTAAGGTTAAAATATGTTATTTCTGTAGCTCTTAATGGACTTTTGCTGAATAGGACTGAATGATGAGTTTTTACAATTTATTGATAAAAGATGAAATATTGGAAGAAGAGATTTTTTTATTATTATTGAAATACTAGAGAAGGTGTTAAGTTACTGAAGTTGTTTATATCTGGAGGGAGGGGGGAGTCATTTTTTATATTTTTCCTTTTCTTATTTTTTTCCCTTTTTTCTTCTATTTTTTCCTCTCTCCTTACCTTTTTCTTTTTCTTTTCTTTTCTTTTTATATTTCTCTTAGTTTGTATTAGTCTTTTATCTTTGTATTTGTAAACATTTATAATATTATTACCAAAAAAGAAGAAATTATTTAATTCTTTCCCACATAAAGGTGGCAGTTCTCGGAAGTCTAGGCCTACATAAAATACTACTTTTCCTATATTAAATAGTACTTTTTTGTTGTTTCAAATTGCAGCATATGCTGATAAAGCAATAAATATACAGAACTTGTAGTTATTCATTCTGTTTATATCTTTACTTTCCTGCAGGAGCTTAAAGCAGCCTACAAAGCATTCCATCCCATTTTTCTTAAAATAGGATTGAGCTGAGATATAGTAATTGGCTTAAAGTCATCCACTTGAAATTGTAAATCCAACACTTCAACCGCTACACCATTAAATAACTAGAGTTACTTTCTGCACAGATATACAGAAAACTGACCATTCGCTGTTAATCTTGTGATTATATCTTTTGTGTGTGTGTGTGTGTGTGTGCGCCACTACAGATTTATTGAAGGGTTTACAACCAGGAGCTCAGCATTCAGCAGCACTGTCTCATACACCTCTGCCTGCTCATTTGCAGCAAGCTTATCCAGGTAAGAAATATATTATCTCACCTTTCTAAAGTGAAGCCAGCTGTCTCACGGTACAGATTTCTACAATAGTGAAAATTTCTAAGAGCAGTTTTGACAGTGCAACAAATTTCCCAGAGGCATGGTAGATTTCTCTTCACTGAATGTGAATCTGTTAGAGATGCTCTAATTTAGATGTTGAACTGAACAGGAAATTGGATTCAGTTACCTAAATTTCCAATTCTAATCAGGCTTTTCATGAGAACTGCCAAAAGAATGTGAAAAAACACTATTCAGCAATTTTGTTCCAGGAATAATTCTCAACCTGGGATAAGCCTTAATTTTTTTCCCCACTCTTGGTCTCATCCTTCTTGTCACTGCAGGGAGAGAATATGAAATATACTGTAGCCTTTGGTATTTCCCTGATCAGTTCCAAGAAAAAATCCAGTTGAAACTTAGTTAAAAAGGACAATTGAATTTAATGTTATTGCTTTTGCAGGCAGGTGCTAGGGTAATTTATAATTAAGGTGGTTTATCTTATGGATTGGGGTCATATATTGCACTAAATCATGGTTTGTTTTTACCTTGATTTGTAAAACAAATCATAGTGCCTAGCTTGCTCATAAAGTAAGCCCCAAAGTTTACAGTGACAATGGCTAGTTCACATTAAAATCGGGATTTTCAAAAAACATATATTATGGCTTAGCACGAAGTGTAGAACAAGCCTTTTTGTAAGTGTTGAATACTTTGAGATTTGTCTGCGCTAATTTTAAACTCATTCTTAAGGAAGGTTGTTGTGACCATGCTGAGTAGGCAGCCACAGAATGCTTTAGAGGAAGCAGTTTATCTGGATCCCTTTCAGTCAGGGTTCCAGCCTGGGCATGGGATGAAAACAGCATTAGTTGCACTGGTTAATTACCTTTGTTGGGCCGTAGATGGAAAATATGTATTCTTTCCAATCCTATTACATGTTGATGGCCTTCAGTACCATTGACCATGGTATCCTCATGGACTGCCTATGTGGGTTGGGAATTGGGGCCATTGTTTTATGTATTTCCACTCCTTCCTGAGCAGGTGGTTCTGGTCAGTTGTGGGTGAAAAGAGATTGGCCTGGTGGCCTCTTATCTGTGTACTGCCACAGGGTTCAGTTCTCTCTATTCTTTAAGATCTACTTGAAGGCACTGGGAATTCATCCATCAGATTGGGGTGTGGCGTCATCAATACACTGATGAAACCCAATCATACATCACCACCCCGGGTTGTGTCAGCAGTACTATATGGTTGAAATCTTTTCTGAGTGTCTGAACTCAACCAAGATATACTTGCTGTTATTCCATCAAGGCTTTCTATCAGCTACATGGCTGTCTATTGAAGATGTAGCAATGGCTTTGAGAAAGCAGTTCTGTGCCTTGGGGGTTCTCTTGGACTCATGGCTCCTGTTGGATGAGCAATGGGGACTGTGGCCAGAGGACCATTGGTGTGGTGTGTCAGTTGCAGTCCTACTTGGAGCTGGAGAGTTTCACAGTGGTAACTCATGCTCCCATTGCTACTTGGAGTCCTTGGGGTTCTCTGAGCTTGGTTGTTTTCTTGCAAACATTTCGTTACCCGGCTAGGTAACATCTTCAGTGCTAGAACGGAATGGAGTTTGCTCTGTGTTTATATACAGTGGCATGCCATGCCAGTGTTGGTGGGGGTTGTTTGTTTTATTTTTTTCCCCTCTGGTAGTTCCTTGATTAGAGTATTATTTACTGCTTGATTGTGTGTGTGGTGATAATCTTAGTGTTAATCTCTGCTTATCTGGGTGATATGTTGATGAAGATTCTCAGTCATCCAGGTGGAATTATCTGGAGGTTGAGTCATGGC